CAGTAATGAGAACCTAGTTCTAGGTTGTCTCTTTAGAAATAACTCTGCGGGTGTTCTACCCGTCGTGGTATGAGGACTATTACGGTAAGTAATAAGGAAGTTTGCTAACTTGTGGTGTAATGACAAGTGGATTATCAAGTAATTGCTTAATTAGCGCCTTCTTCACAATTTGAACGGTACGTTCCGCTGCCCCATTGGAAGCAGGATGATATGGCGCTACACGTTTATGTATTATACCATTTCTAGTCATAAACTCGGCAAAGTCACTAGAGATAAACTGGGGCCCGTTATCCGAGACTATCTCTTCGGGTAACCCATAAGAACTAAATAGTCTTCTTAAAATATCAAGAGTTTTGTTTGTTGTGGTAATTTTCATTGGATACACTTCTACCCATTTTGAATGACTGTCTAAAACAATGAACAGATGTTGACCCTTTAACTCAGCATAATCAACATGCAACCTCTGCCAAACACGACTTGGCCACTCCCATGTTTGGAGTGGTGCTAGAGGTGGTTTGTTTCTGACAGACAGACATGTTTCACATTGGCTTACAAGATTCTGAATATCTTGGTCTAACCCTGGCCACCATAAGTAGCTTCGAGCTAACCCTTTCATTCTACATATGCCCATATGCCAAGTCATTTAATAATGTTGACCTAAATTTGCCAGGTATTACTACTCGTAATCCCCACAAAATACACCTCTTGTCAACTGACAATTCATTTCTGCGTATGAAGAAAGGCTGTATATCTTTATCCTTAACATGGTTTGGCCAACCATTCAAAACGTAATCATACACCTTAGCTAATAAGGGATCTTTGATTGTTGCTTTACCAATATCATTTGCCGTTATAGGTAAGTCATCAAAATATGAGAAATAATTTACTTCTACATGTTCATCTGTAGAATCTTTGGTAGGTAACCTAGATAACATATCTGCATTACAGTGATCCTTAGATTTCCTATAGACGATGTCATATTTGTACTATGACAATAGCGCTGTAGCGCTTTAAGCACCACTGCAGCAAATACGTGCGCTTTATAAATCTTATTGATATTATTACTATTTATCCTGATAAGACTAAATGCTCTCCCGCATTTACAAATCTCATGACATTTTTCTGCATTGACAACGTAAGTTTTGGGTTTCATGTAATTTACCAGTTTCATTTAAAGTTATGAATCACTTTAATTATCATATTTTTTATAATCTGGTAACTTTAATTAATTTTCATAGGTCTAATTATGGAGTATTTAAAACTATCGAGTTTGGATTAAGCTAATATTGCTTTATGTTATAACATACAGTCTCAATAAAAGTTAATTCATCTACAAATATTTCAGATTACTCTGCATTGCATCAATTTATTCATACTAGTCAATATTTTTAAATGTCTGTATTTATTTAGATTCTTAGGCTTATGTTATATTCTCATCCAGCAGTTTATAATTTTTTTTTTTATTGGTGAGAAAACTCCTGGTGGTTGCTTCCCACGTCTAACCAAATCCTCTTTATTATGTCCGTTATGACTTACATTTATAGTTAATCAAATGTTACAAGCATTGCAAGCTCTTTCTTTAAAGCAATGAATCCCAGGTAAGTTCATGTATCATCTTTCAGAAATTATTGTTCTGTCTCTAAAGTTTTTTGTACTTTTGTATTTTATCGAAATGTTATTTTAGCAGTGTAAAATTGGTCCATGGCTAATATGTAAAATGAAAACCACCTAATTTTTTTTATTACCTAGCTTTAACAACAAAATATCTGCGTTTTGCCACTTTAATCATTGCAAGAAAAGTCATTGTAACTTTCCAGGAAGTCATAGGTACTTAAAAAATAAACTGGGAATTACCCATATCTTTGTGGTTTGTAGAAGCGTATGAAATAACATTCGACTACGAAATAGCCTAGTAAATTCATTTGAGCCTTAAAAAAGTTATGAACAAATGAAATGATAACGTAAAAAAACTGTTGTATGCTCATAATTAGTCATGATGTGCCTGTAATGTCATCATGACTATATTTAGGCATATCACAATTTTTTGGCAAATATTAGTCTGGATAGGCCTTACTCCTAGAATTAATTAAACTTTACTAGAAAAAAAAATTAGATGCGCTTGAATTGTGCCTGCTGCCTATCCCTTTCTAGGTGAGTTAACTAATGCTAAACCACAAAAGTGAACAAAGATTTAAATACTCTCATACATCTAATGTAGGCATTCACATTAAGTTGTAGCCCACACAGAGGACATTGAACGTCGTTGCGATATTTAAGTTTCGACTATGGAAGATATGGAAGCTTATTTCGTTAGATCTCATGGAATTTGTTGTATTCATTTCGAAATTACGGAATTGTAATTTTTCACAACTTTCTTGAGGAAGAAGAACTCGCCTAAATCAAAATGCTACCTCCGTGGCCGAATAATTGTATATATAATTTCCAGCGGTGGGATACTGAATATATGACGGAAGAGCTGTTTGGGCTCTCTTCACAAGGAAGCTGAAACTTCCAATATTGTTTTTGCAGATGTGTATCGATATATAAACTCTGCAGAAATAATAAAGCCATTTCAACTTTAGTTGCTGAACATTTTGGAATACGTCTACAATTGGAATTGAAATGGGACTAAAATTGTTTATAGTTTTGGCTATAATTACGAAGACCTCACTTGCGTGTAAGTAGACATAATCATGTTAATCTTTCCAATTTAATATAACATAAAAATAACACACTATTTGGTGATATTTGCTTTGCTTGGCTTGAAAGAATAATCAATATTAGTAATTAAAAATATGATGTCCTTAGCCAGATTTTAGCTTGGCATACTAGGATAATTAACATGTGATAAAAGCAGCAAATGAACTTGGAAGCAGTTAGGATATATTGGATAAGATGGGATGCATTTACCATTTTTCTTGAATAAAAACTTTAAATGAAATATTTTACCATAAATAGAATGAAATAATACGTTATACTATGCTGTTATAACCAGATATGGCAGGCTACGAAATTAACAAGAGGTATACCTATGACTACAGTGTGACAGTTTCCTCATTTTTCAATGGAATGTCTGCTGATGACGCCAGTGTTGTTCTGAACTGCAAAGCAGCCATAGAAGTTGTGGACAACTGTGAAATGGTTTTGAAGGTACGTTATCCTAAATGTTGAAAAAGGATAAACTGTATCTGTATGCATTTAATATTTTTGTTCGTTTCAGTATTTATTCAATGTTATACATAATATGTACATCTTGCTTAGAATTAAATTCAATACTGACATTTTCCTCAACAATAGTTGTCTGATCTTTAAACTTTAAGCAATATATTTACATAGAAAGAAAACAGGAAACTAAGTAAACCTTTAGTATAGTATTTTATTTAAACATATTTCGACCTGACCTCAGGTCCTCCTCACAAAATAAACAAAACAATAAAAAAGACACAAAATCGGTTCGGAAAGGTCTTTCCTTGGTGACTGGAACTGGCAAAGGTAATCTAATGTTGAGTCGGAATCATCATTTGATTTACAAACTTTATGCAATGATCTTAACAATTTTTTCTCAAGATTCGACATCCATGATTTTAGTGAGGACGTGCATAGCATTTGTGATCTTTTGACCAATGATCTACACACAAGCGATAGCATCACAGTCAGTGTTGACGAGGTAACAAATTCCTTTAAATACCGCAAATCTTAACCATTTTTTATCAAGATTCGACACCCATGATTTTAGTGAGGACATGCACAGCATTAGTGATCTGTTGACCAATGATCTAAACACAGCGATAGCATCACAGTCAGTGTTGACGAGGTAACGAAATCCTTTAAGCGCCTCAAATCTGGCAAAGAAGCAGGGCCAGGTGGTCTTTCATCTTCATTGCTAATGAATTATCTTCTCTGTTCTGCAAAATGTTCCAATGGCGTACATACAGTTCCAAAATCGTCGAGTGTTCCTGTGCCAAAAAAGAATAAAATATCTAGCCTCAACGACTATTGACCTATTGCCCTTACATCCATCCCAATGAAGTGCCTCGAAGCTATTATCAAAACGGTAATCACGTCCGACTGTAGTTCACTACTAGACCCTTTGCAGTTTGCTTTCTGCTCGAAAAGGAAAGTCAACGATGGAAAGCCACAATGCCCCACAAAGTCCACTCGCACCTTGAAACGCCAAAATCATATGTTCGGTCCATATTTTCGTCTGCTTTCAACACGATCCAACGGCATTTACCTCTTCAAAAACTCCGCAACACCAACATTAACCCACATCTCTCACTCTGGATAGGGAACTTTCTCACCGCGCGAAAACAACATATCGATTGGCAAATTTAAGTCTAATGGAACTCTAACATCTACCGGAGCACCTCATGGTTGCGTATTATCGCCTTTACTTTTCTCACTTTATATTTAACTTTGGACACTCATGACTGCTGCCTCATTCGATATGTCAACGACACCTCTATAATTGTTTGTTTTTTTTAATTATTAAGAATGACAATGAAAATATTTATAACGAACTTCTTAATAATTTTGAGTCTTGGTGTAATGACAACTATTTCAATTTTAACGTTGACAAAACTAAAGAGATCATTTGATTTTAGAAAAAAGAAAGACGAACCTGAAAATATAATGATTAACAGAAAATGTATTGATATCGTTTCAGAGTAAGCACCTTGGTTCAATACTAGATAAGCTTAACTGGATCAGTAAAACATCTCATGTCTGTAAAGGGGCCTACCAAAGAATTTATTTTTTAAGAAGTCTCAATTCATTCAATGTCAGCTCTAACACTCTCTTCGTGTTTTTTAAGAGTGTTATCCTCCAGTCTTACTCCCTGTAACAAACACAAGCTTTTTGAAAAACTGAAAACGGCATAAAGAATTATTAAAGCTGAATTAGATGGTATTGATGATATGTATCACCAGACAGTCCTACGTAAATTAGATAAGATCATTAATGACGCTTCACATCTTTTAAACTCATTTTACTTAAAAAACAACTCAGGTAGAATCCGCCCTTTGAAATGTTTCTACATCTAGATGTAGAAACCAATTCGCACACGACTCTATTTTTGTATTTAATGACAACTTTAGCAGACAGACATCATATAATCCTATATTTTATATTAAACCTGCCATATTTTCTCGGTTTTAGTTGTCTCGATTTGCAATATCTGGTTACACAATTTTTCTGCAATGATTGGTCTTTCTTTTAAAATTTTCTGGTATATAATTTTTAATGTACGGTATTCGCGCGATTAAGCGCCCGTTTGAATAAGCGCCCCTCTCGAATAGCACCCCTCTCGAATAACCCCCCTTCGTGAACGTGAAAATTTCATTAGGCGCCCCGTTTGAATAAGCGCCCCCTTCTAATTTGAATAATCTAATCAATCCTGGGACTGGATTTTGGCATGATTTGAGGTGTGGAGAGGAATCACATTCTCCTTTAGTTAATATCAAAATGGGATGTTTGTCTTGGACAAATGAGAGCTCCCTGCACAGACAGTGTATTTCCAACTTTCATTTTCTTACATAGACTAGTCTATAGCCTATAGCCTAGTCCTACTCCTTTTCCGACAATTTGCACCTTTAACACATTCTTATTTGAGTTTTCAAGAAAATCTGCAATGATCATGCCGTCCTGCTAATCTCAATCGGCCGATGGCCCACAAGCTAACCACCACCATTAATTTTCATCTGCTATTCTGCTGTTATGTAATACTGTACTCACAACATTCTTGTCATGACAAGCCATGCTCTGTGGACGAATATCTTTTCCGCTGCACCACCATTCGCAATTTGCGGTGTCCTGATTTTCATCTATTTTTGTAAGCGCCCCCTCAATTTCCCCCCCCCGTTCGAATAAGCGCCCCGTTTTAATAAGCGCCCCCAAAAAAGTGCAAAAAATTTTAAGCGCCCGGGCGCTTATTCGCGCGAGTACGGTAGTTGTTCTTTTTGTTCTATTGTTTAAACTAATTTTATCATATATCTTGTTGTACTGTCGACAATAAATTTCCCTGATTCCTTAGCGCGCATATATATATATATAATAATCATCAAAGGAAGGTAAATACAGTGTTAGAATAAAGGACATAATAATACATCGTGTAGCAAGGCTCTCAACGAATTTAGCCCTGTAAATAAATGAATAAAGAAATTGTGTTATAAACTGCCTCTGGCGGGACTCGAACCTGCGACCTCTCGCTGTCAAGGCAAGCGTCATAATCATTAGACCACGGAGGCTTCATGGTTGAACAGATTCAAATACAACCAGATACACTCCATTACACAATAGGTACAGCTAGAAACAATATAGGTACATATAATATAAATCAAGATAGCCGTTAACACTGTTAAATTATATATAATAAATCATCAAAGAAAGGTAAATACAGTGTTTAATAAAGGACAATAATACATCGCGTAGCATAGCTCTCAACCTGTCTCTTATACACATCTAGATGTGTATAAGAGACAGCCATTACACCAACCCACTCTCTCATCATTAATGATTAAATTGGTAGGCATACATACCACATATGCCCTTCAAATTAGCCTCATTATAATAATTTATTAGGAACTGCACTTTTCAATCAGTGGCACACTTCTCAATCGAAGGTGCGTCCAAAACAAAATGTACAGTAAAGTTCACAAAAAAGACTTATGGAAGGTAAATACAGTGTTACAATAAAGGACATAGTATTACATCGTGTAGCACAGCTCTCAACGAATGTAGCCCTGTAAATAAATAAATAAAGACATTGTGTTATAAAATTCCTCTGGCGGGACTCGAACCTGCGACCTCTCGCTGTCAAGGCGAGCGTCATAACCATTAGACCACGGAGGCTTCATGGTTGAACAGATTCAAATATCACCAGATACACTCCATTAGACAATAATTACGGCTAGAAACAAATAGTTGCATATGATATAAATCAAGATTGATTTATATATATATATATATATATATATATATATATATATATTCATATTATGTATATATATATTCATATTTTTCATTATAACATCGTATCATTATTGTCTCTGTTTTGGATATTTTTCTTGTAGGTTTCTGAGGTTATGATTCAAGATAAGAATCAAAACGGTTCATTTTCAATTTCCAAAAATAATGAATACCTCGAAACGTCCTTGATGAGATACGATTTGCGCTTCGGTTATGACATAGGCCGCATTTCAACGGTTTGCCCAAAAGAAGACGAGGAAACATGGGTATTGAATATCAAGAGGGGTATTTTATCTGCTTTCCAAGGCACTTCGTTGCAAGTGATTGGGGCATCAGAACCGGAACAGATGTCTGTTGAGGTAATAATGGTTTTATACCTACCCAATTAAAAAAGTATCCTTATAACAAGAGACCTTATGCATGTATAATCATATTCGCTGATAGCTACTCTTCATGAGGTTTTTATTGCATCCGGCTATTTATAATAACTGTAAAAGTGATTTAAAAATAAAAATAAAGGATACCTCACATACAGCTTACAACAGTAATTAAGTAATTAACATACTGGGCACAGTGATTCTTTATATATTTCGATCTTTAGACGGATGTTACCGGTATCTGTCCTGTACAACTGAAGAGGGTTAGTAATTTTAAGACTATTAAGTTAAAAAACTTCGAAAGATGCAAACAACATATCAAGATAGACTCTTTTCTCCAGGGCACTCAATTTCTATCCTACGCAGTAAGTATTTTTAGTGTTCATTGCGTTTCTGATTTCTTGTCAAGCAAAGGAAAAAATAATAATAAGTGGTCTATCGGGGCAAACACGCATTGTTAGCAAGTGGCCTTAGAATAACACAAACAGCGAAATATCCCATCGATTGTTATATGACTATCTCTGTTCAAACACCATGGTTAAATCATATTGGACCTGAGCAAAAGTTAATAAAAATATAAATAATGATTAATAATTTTACAGCCAACCGTGAGTGTTCTGAACAGCAGTCAAGTCTGTAAACAGACATGGTCTAATAAGAAGCTTCAGCGAACACTGTGCCAAGAGAAACACCTTGTTATACCATTTTCTAGCGGCGAAAATGGTGCCCTTTCTACCGTTATACAATCCATGCAGATTACAGATATTGACACTAATGTCTCGTCTTTTGACGGTGGTAAGATGATTATATTCTTTGATAGGTCTATTTCATATTTTAAAATGGTAATTCCATTTTTGGGCCTTATTGGAAAGCTTACATGTCTCCTGTAAACCTACTAAGCTCTCCAGCATGTGGTGTCATGTCCAACGTACTGAGAGTAAAATAATAATCTCAATACAATAGTTCTTATTATTGCATAGAGCTGTGTCACGGGCAGGCTGAGTCTTCAAAAGAACCTATTTACAATTTCAACGATCATTACATTATTATTATAAACTATAGGTTAGATATCATCTAAGCTAGAGATTACGGTATATATTGGGCATTATCATTATTTTGATTTCAGAATTTATCAACAGGAAGACTGATATTCTCTTTGAACATGTCAAACATAGTAATTGTCTTAGCACGCAACAGTTTATTGCAACTCTTAATGAAGTTTGGAATAAAAGCAGTTTAAATATTCATCCAGAGGCTGCTAAACTGTTCACAAAGGTTATCTTTCAAATGCGCAAACTCAAGCAAAAACGGCTCCAGCAAGTGATTGATAGGGTTCTTGATGACAGTCCATGCAATGACCGGCTCGCATTCAAGTAAACCAACATTATTTGATTTTTTCTTTAATTTTTTATATATATATATATATAATTTAAAAAATCATATATATATACTTGTATATATATATGTATATATATATATATATATATATATATATATCAATCTCTGATAGCATCGAAATACAATCTGCCGCCCTCTATTGTCAATATAATGTGCAACTGTGGCCATGCGCTGGCACCAGCCACATTGACAGATGATATAGAATTTGTAACCGAACGACACGCTGACACTTGCAATGCAAACACATTGTATTTTGAATTACAAAATTATATAACTTGTTGGAGTCTTTTAAATTTTGTTCCAAGTGTTGAAACTCATCGAAGGTCATTGGCAATGGCAGTTTCAAATCTCAATATAAAACCATGGTCTTTAACTAATACATGCTTCTACAACCTTCGCAATATTAATAAAGAATGACAACTTTATTTAAATGTATGTATATATTATGTTAAGCTCATATATATATATATATATAT